GCAGGAATCAAGAACTCAAGTATGTTGCAAAGCCCCTTTAGCCAGCCTTTCTTCATGCTCCTAACTCCGTACTGCATTTTTTGTATGAATCTACTTTGAAAACCTGTCTGTTCACAGCAGAACTGTGAACAAAACAGACTAAAGTTCTAGATTTTTATTTTCTTCAGTTCACTCCAGGTGGCAGGGAGTACATGCACACCTCCTTTCATAGTAGGTGGTTTAATTGTACCTTTGGCAGCTACTGGAGAAAGCATGACAAAGGTATTGAGAATGATCTGAAGGCAGGACAAAGGAACTTGGCAGAGCAGCTGAAATGCAGCTTAAAGTTCTTTTATCATGAGAAGTGAACTCTTTCAACTGTCAATTTAAAAAAAATATGGCTGGGGTTTGATAAATTCTCTACTAGAACAAGATATTTACAAAAATGCTTTAAAGAAAATGGGGCTTAAAGAGGAGTCAACTCGTTAGGAACTAGGATTAAGAAATGGACCTTCAGACAGATTTTTCTGCTTTCCAGCATCCTTTCTTCTTTATTTTATAAGACTTTTATCGTTTACTGGTTTGAGACAATAAAATGGGTCTTATTGTAAGTATCAATTGCAAGTCTAATTTGGCTTACTGTTGAGCTCTTAATTGGGTTAAGAATCCTTCTAATCCATTTTATTAGGGCCTGTCAGCAGCAGGCACAGCTTCTACAGAAGTGGCTAAAAATGAACTTGGAACCAGAGGATGAAGACCACCTACGAGAGGCTCAGGAAGAACTGCACTGGGTGTGTAAATAACAAACTAAAGTTACCTAAGTGATCACCACTGCTATGCACTTAGCCTTAAGGTTGATGGCTGTTGTGATCAGCTGTAGAGCAAGCTAGTACTAAAATACCAAGAAAAAGGATACTTGTAATTGGAAGCAGGCTGTTGAGCTGAACAGACTGCTTTGTAGATGCATCTTTATAGAAATGTAGCTCCAGCTCCAATAGACATTTTTAAGGCTATTTCCAAGGTACACATCAGGTTTTTTAGATTGAGTTTGTTTTGTTCTGGGAAGCTCAGGACAGTGCATCTGCACTGCTCTCAGTCCCCACTTTCACACAGCCCTATGTATGGATACTGCACTGGTACCCCCAAAGCTGGCCAGTACCTGGCTGTTCCTGTCACACAATCCTACCACTTTCTGGTTAAGTGGAGTAAAGGCTGCTAGCGCTTCACTCTTCCTCTCTGAAAAGCACTAAATGCCATCTCACTGTACAAACAGCTTATGCAATTGTCTTCACTTTCAGTTGCAGGTGAGGATCCAGACTCTTACCCAAGCACAATCAAGAGCAAGATGCCACGTGCAGAACCTGCTTGTCCGCCTACACGATATCAGGACTGCTCTGGATACATAATGCACCTGAACGTGCCAGCTCATGGGTAGGACTTTTTGCCCCTTTCACAGCAGGGGAGGATGGATGATATGTACACATTCTTTTTGTCTACATTTGGCACTCTTATTCTATCAATTAAATATTTCTGCTTTGTATTTGTTACTACAGCTGGTTAAAAGCCACGTGAGAGCCAAATCTACCTCATGCAGCACTTACAATACCTAGTTATCAGAAAGATAAGCAACACCGATAAGACTTTATTTCAAAATGTTTGCAATTAGATGAGTTAATGTCAGTAAGTCATACACTTTGACATACAAAAATACCGTGCTACTGATACAGTTGAAGAATTAAATGGATTCTCCATGCAGGAGAAATTCACAGCATTATCAGTACCCTCTAGGAACTTCACTTTCACTTCCAGGGTGCATTGCTGACCACTGCATACAAGTAATGTTTGTTAATCAGCTAGCTCTGCACAGTATTAAGACCATCACGAAAACAGCCACTTGCATGCAGAATCCTCTCCTTAGCTTTCTAATAAAGCAAATGTCTTGTAAACTGTCCTCTGTTACTAGGCTAACAGTAACCTTCAGATACTGTGGATGATGATGCTGAGTAGGAAGAAATTAAAGCTTAAAGTTGCTTTGGCTGTGTCTGGATGTCATAGGCCTCAGTGGAAATGGGGTGAAGAGATGGAATTGTCTTTTCTCTCATCCACTGGAATAGATTTTCTTTCTAGTATTAACATGTAAGTTTAGTCAAAAGGCTACTCATCCTCTAGGCTTGATGTTTTTGCCTTTGTCATTTCTGACTCTCAATGGTTTAAAAAAAGGGCACATTTCTATAACTTGCATATAGTAACATCCTGCTGCAGGAGTAAACTTGCTAATGCCAGTAAGTTTAACAAGACAGGTGGCCAAGAGCCACTTCAAGCTTTCAAACTCCTCCTTCTGTGAGGAAACGTTGACTCTCAGAGCCAAATGAATTTTCTCCTGCTTGTCACCCAAACAGCCACCATTATCTGAGTTATGGCTGGGATACATCACTTGGAAGCAGTTCATCATACCTTCCTTCCTGATGACAAGCTAAGCATAATTGACTTGGCAAACTGGACATTTGTACAACAAAATTATATTCTATTTTCTGCAGTGCATATAAAGAAGATAAGTTTTTTAGGAAATCAGAGCTGGTCAAAGCCTACAATCTTCTTGAAGTAGCAGAAAAACACCCAAAGGCTTAAGCAAAGAAATATGGAAAATCTTTCAGAGCAGAAAGGCAGGTTTCATAAGCATGCCCACTCCAACAAGCTCTGGACAGCAACATCAGTTCTAAGTGTGGGAGTGCCTGGACCTGAAGCAGTTTATTCTTTTGATACCTTGCTTAAAAATCAATTCCTCTTCACTTTGGCAGCAGTTTCTCTTAGTGCCATATATATAGTGCCATATTCAGCAGATCCAAGGTGTTAAGATTTGAACTTTTCTTGACATGAAGTTACAAAGCTTCAGCAGAGAACCTTCAGCCCCCAGCACATTCCTAGTGTTAAGTAGGAGGGACAGAGAGCAGAGCTGGTATGGGGTCTATTTTAGTATTTTGAAGAACATTAAATTGTTGCCAGTAGAGGCAGTAAGATCCAGAATATTTTTATACACAGTCAGTGCATACGACATTTCACTCCATGTAACAAAAATTGGTCCTGAGGTTTCTGAAACTGTTCTGTAAATAGAACTAATTTTTCAAAAATTTAGTGACAAAGCATCAATGAAGATAGAGAGAAGAAAGGAAAAAAATTTGGCTGCCATCTCATTGCATCACACAAGGAAAACATCCCTTCTGTCTTCCAACTCTTAATCCAAGAGGTGACTTAACTGTCTCATACAAGCACAATCTTTAAAGCCTAGGAATAGCAAAATAAAACCATGGATTAAGAACAGGACACGCAACTTTGTCTGCTAATTTTTTTTTTTTAAAAAAAGAAAATCCCAAGATTACCAGTTTCAGCATATGGAATGTAGACAGTGTTTGCAGGTTTAAAATACAGTGCAAAGTCCATTCCTAAAGGGACAATGTCAGGTAAAAGAATTAAAATTTTAGAAAACCTTGATGAATAGAATGTATTGTACAGGTGCTGTCTGTTGTGCATTTTGCTTAGTTTGGACTGTGAAGCCATACCAGCCAATTTAACTGTTCGGCATTTTGTGCATCCACAGGCTGCTTTCAGCAAAGAATCTTAGAATAAAATAAATATGAGAACATATTCTTCACTCAGTCTGAACAACAGGTACTGCAGCTATACAGTACAAGGTCTGATTCAGCCTGTCACTGTCCCTTTAAATACAGCTCATCTCTATATCCACCCTTCCCCACAGCACAGCCTAGGAAGGCTTAAAAAGGACTTGCAGGCTTTAAGAACTTAATTATCCTGTGGCACATTGAGGGGAGAACATGACAGGCACCAGGCAGGACAAAAACCTCTGTGGTCAACATCTTTAAAGGCAGCTGTACCTGATACATACATTGTCATTCAGCTCTTTCTGCCAAAATACTCTCAAGTTCAACACAGCAATGACATTTGTTTTCCTCACCCAGGTCCTGCTGAGTGATACATGCTTGTAAAGTGAAACACTCAGTGGTGTGGTAAGAGTCCCTTTGTCCAGAAAGCCTTCTTGGGGAGAGTTTCATAGAGAGCCCAGTGCTTCTCCAAAGCGGATTTTCTGTCCAGCTTTGAGGTGGAACTTGAAGTCCTTGGGTGCCTCAAAGATTAATACAATTGTAGAGCCTAAGTTAAATTCCCCTAAATGTTCTCCTTTCCTCATGGAGATTCCCTCCTTGTTGTTGTTGGATATGAAGCTGAAGTCATTGTAAGAACCTTTAGAGTAACTTGGACTGTTGGTATGCAAGTCCTGTACAACAAAGGAAGAAACTTATGTGAGGATTTTAAGACTCTATTCATTAGCACAGCAGTAGACACTGGCTATCCTGACATTTTCAATGCAGGAATGTACTTAGAATTCAAAAGTGCAACAGGAATATTAAAAATTAGTCTATACTGGAGATAACTCCCTTTAAATCAGGCTTAGAACATATTAAGTCAGCATGGAACATCAATGCTGTGAAACATTGTAATTTCAGGGTAATAGGACTTTAGCCTTTTTTTTTAAATTTTCTTTTATTATACTTCACCAACCTCAACCATCAAAACCAGAAAGCTGCAGACTATTGTCTTAACTCACCCGGTCGAAGTAGATGCGGATGGAGCCCACATTTGTTGCTCCTACAGCTGTTAAGGAGAAAAAGCCGTATTTCCAGTCACCTGTAAGGACAACCCGTTCATTGTGGCAGAACAGCTCCTTGATCCAACGAGCAACTCCAGGATTCACAGACATGAGAGAGCCTGCAACAATAAGGAAATAGTCAAGCTAAGTTTTCTGTTCTGTAGCAGTATTGTAATGCTATCTAAATGGCTGATGTTAATCTGATAGGCCCTTAAGAGAGATCAGGGTAAGGACAAAGGCAGAGCTAGTCCCTAATCTCAGCCCTGATAGATAGAACCCAGAGAAGCCTTCTAATAGCACCTAAAATCCATCTAACAAAAGGCTATGAAAAGGAAGCTAAAGAAACTTTTCACAGCTTAGGAACAGGTTTCACTGGTTAAATATCGAATGCATCAGAGCAGTCCCTTCCAGCTCTGTTTGGAAAATGCATAAAAGTGGTTACTAAGATTGTGGTGGAAAACCAAGCAGCTAGTTAGCTAGAGCTGACCAGGAAAAACTAGTAATGTCAATCAGTTAGAAAATAAAAGTTAATTACTGAAGAATCTCAAAATATTTAAATCCCTCATTCAGCAAGGCCCATACCAGTGCTTTCCTCCACAGCTGCTCTGCATTTGTTTTCTAGGAACAGAAACCAACCTGGGAAGTGACGTCGGTGTGACACTCTCCAGTCAGTGGGCGAGTGGAAGCAGTGATAATCCCCTGGTGCAAGGTAGATGACACAATGATAGAGCTCATTACCCTCCTTTGTGACTAGTTGTTGCTGAAAAGAGTTACCAGATGGGGCTGCAAAGACACCACAGAGAGAGAAAGGTTAAAGATGTTGTTCACACACTCCTCTACAATAGCTGAGCAGTCTGTGTTAGAAACAGGAGTAATAGCAGAGGACTAAATGCAGTCCACGTGCAGTGCCCAGACTAACAAAAGATGCACTTTGTCCACAAATCCAGTATTTCAGTGTTACAACAAAAATCAGATGATTTTATTTCAGTGATTTTGGAAATTCCTCCATTTTGGAGTTTCCCCTTCCCTAAACAGAACAGTAGAAACTGAAATCCAGTGAAGATGTATTTTTCTTAAAGCTACCCTTTCAAGAACAGAACTTGTCTCAAAGCAACCCTTTTAAGAACAGAATTTGTGATCAGTCCCTATTTTTATAAAATGTAGTTGCATTTGTCTTCATGTTAAAAATAACCCTGCTGTTTGCAGAACTCCATCTCTCCAATCACCTCATGAATTTAGTAAATATCTGTTGCTTTCATCTGAACTCGGGACCCTGGAGACAGTTCTCAAAGCACAGCAGAGCAGTAATTGCACAAGTCATTAGAAGTACATAATGCTTGAGCATAAGTCTTTTTTCAGAGCAGCTTATACACCCTATGTGCTAACCAGGTGCTTGGGCATGTTTCAGTCTGACAGGAGAGTGCTACAACCTCATTATAGTGGCATATCTTGGAGACAATTTTAATTGTCAATATAACCATATAAAAAGGAACCAATTAAATTTAGATAAGCAGAATGTGGCAGGCAAGACAGTTATGAAGCCACGTAACAGTGGCATGTTTATATAACAGAAGCCAGACCTGCTTTTGCTCCTGACAATTTGAGAAGGAAAAAAAAAAAAAAAGAGTAATCTTCTCATGGTCTCTGAAAGCACTGAGAAAGCAGAGCAGAAGAAATGCAGAACTGACACAGAACTCACCCTGGCTAAACTGCAGTTCCTCTGTGCAGACACGAGGTCCCAAGAATGATTCCAGAGAATAAGTAACCCCTTTGACTTGCTCCACTTCACAATTTTTTACTTGTCCAAAATTAAGGATCTTTCCATCAGAGGGACTGATCTACAGCAAAGAGAAAAGAAAGAAAAAGCCATACATTAGGAATGTATGAATTCCTCACACAGCAGACACTCTCTGTTGGCAGGGAAGCTGGCAGGACAATGGAGAGCCCTCCTTTCCTTTGACTCACCACACTGTGCAAACAGCAGACGGGCCGTACTTGTGGTTTCAGCTTCCTGCGGAAGAACTCGCTGAGGTTTCTGTAGTGATGCAGATCTTCAACAGCTGCCTCCTTCATGTTCACTCCAAATGTCCAGATGTACAGGCTGTACACAGGCTTTCTGAGCCATGTTGGCAGCTCCACCTGGTTCAGGCGACCCCAGGCTCGTGAGAGCAGTCGAGTTGGTACCGATTTGTAGAGGGCAACCTAAGGAAAGAAGTGCATGATGTCATTCAGTTCTTCCTACCAATGGCTTTCTCTTATTTCTCCTCATAAAACAGAAAGGACCAAACTGCTCTGCTAGCCACTCCCTTGAATTCAGTGGGTTACACCACACACAGTGTAGCCTTGTAGTCTGCAAAAAATTAAAACTGCATTTCATCCTCACTCTGTTCTGATGACAAAGATGAGGGACAGGATGAAACTTGCTATAGCCTTAAAACATATCTCCACACTCCCCTGCAGGCTGAAGCTCCACATTCCAAGTTACTGGAAACTGCTCAATGCTTACAGAAAAAAAGACATTTCACATACTCCAGTGGAACACTCACCCAAAGGCTTTAACATTCATTTTTGTGATTAACCAAATGAAAATGGACCGAAAAAATAACTTTAGTGATGACATGCTTCTCAGATGCATCTACTAATTAATGAGGGTGTTTTCCACACCCCAGTGTTGCACTGCTCTAGTGGTACTAGCACAATGGAAGAAACATGGCACTGTGGATACAGCTACACCAGTATAAACTTGTACCAGCCTTACTCCTCACAGCAAAGGGAGCTGCTCACTTCAAGAGAATAAAATGCCATTATTCCTGTAGAAATATCCCTTTGGACTTGCACAGAAGCGTTAAGTTTTATTAGCAGGAAAACCAAAGTGTGTTGTTAAGATGTATATGCTGTTAGTGTAACTGGATAGATGATTGTCTTCCCATTTGTAATTCCAGCAGGTAACTCTTAAGGGGTTTGTGGTACTTGGTATCAGCCAAAAATCTCATATGACCATAATGTAATTGGAAGGGTGGGGGTGTGGGCCAAGGAACTAAACACTGACACCAGTTTTGCAAAATAAGTAGTTAAACCTGCTGAATCTGGTACAGTTTTTTTCTTTTAACAGTGCAGCCCAACTACATTTAACTCCCAGTGTTTCTTTCTTACTGAGAGTTATCATTTCTTCTCAATTTAATAATATCCATCATAGTTAAGTCTTGCAAAATACAGCCATAAACACAAACAGAAGCACACACTGGCTGAGAGCCTCTCCATCTTATCAAATACCGTGAATTAAGATATCACTCACAAATCACCATCCTGCATCACATTAAATATCAGTGCTATTTCAGAAAGAAAACAGCAACCTGATATTACTTCAGATAAACACTTCTGAATTGAACAGTACCTTAGGTTATACGAGCTGACTTACTGAAGAAAAAACGTTTTGCCCTTTTGACATGCATTTATACAGTGTTCATTTCTAAAATCAATATTCCTCAGTTGTCTCCAAGCACTAATAATATACAGATACAACTGTAAAATCACAAAAATTGTCAAAAATGCTATTTCCTAGTAGCCTTTTATCTTCAAAAGAACCTGGTTTTCAAGTAGATGGGATCAAACAGAACAGCTGTTCAATGAAAGTCTTAAGAACGGCTATTTTACTGCAGTTTTCAGTCAAGGTATTTGCTTGGTTGCAATCTGAAACTGCATAATTTGCGCGGAGAATAACAGTGTGCAAGGCTTCCTACGGCGCTGCTCTCAACAGGGTTGGAGCAGAGATTTGCTTATCCTTTGGACAGCCTGGATTACAAACAATCGAAGAACTTGAGGAGCAAGCCCTCTGTGCAAAACTGACAGAAAGCAAGACCCCATGTCAGTGTGGCCAGGAAAGGGAACTGGAGAAGCAGTTTGATCTGCCTTATCCCAGCCCTGATACTTCGAGGTGACTGAATTAATGCAAAAGGTTCTGTTGATTTTCCTGGGTAGACTCCCCCGACTGTTAGAAGACAAAGGAATTCTCAGCTACTGAAAAAAATCCCTTGTCTGTGAAGCAACTATGAACAGTAGCAACTAAAAGGCAACATGAATTGCATCTCTCTGCTCTCCTACTAGTGGTCATCAGCCCTTTCTACATCAAGGACACCTCTCCACTCGGCTGCTAGGTCCCTTCAGTATAAAACAGCTAACATACATGAAGCACAAGAGAGACCTGCTCACACTTACCCTGCTCATAGGCCTCCATCCCACTCTGGTCAAGGGTTTAAGAGCACCGAAAGGCAGAAGATAATAGAGAAAAGTCAGAGGCCAAGAACGGAGTTTCAGAGCAGGCCTAGACATACAGCTCAGCTGGCCCAACCTTCGCCTCAGGGCCAGCTGGGGAAACTGCAACCTGAAAGATTACATACACAACATAAGGGTCAGCCATCTCAGCTTCAGAACCACCACCAGCTTTTGATAACTGGGGAATACTAATTCCTGATAATCTTTACTTAAAACATTGATTCTGCAAATCCTTACTTCTTTATTTTTGTCAGTTCCTCCCCTTCCCAAGATAGAAGGCCAGTTTATGTTTAAAAAAGAAAAAAAAAAAAAAAGGAAGAAATTGTGTTCACTCTCACAGGTCACATTTTATGAATGACACCCTCAAAAACTAAAGACATGATGACTTGCAGGTGACATTTGAAAACAATGGAAGCAACAAAGAATAAAGTTTCTTCTTCCAAATACCAGATGACTAAATCCCAAAAAAAAAGTTTCTTGTGCCTGCTGCAGCTGTTGTGTAGCCAAAAAATATTCTGAAACCTAAGAATCTGTGATTCTGGGACTTTAAAGAACAGTACTGAGGGGCAGTATTAACGAAAAAAGATGAAAGAAATCTTTTAAACCTAAGGAAATGAGGTCCCTTAGAGGGTTCACGTGCTGAAGGCCATCTTGACTAGATTGTACTTATTGTATGTGTCAAATTTACACAGACCTCTTGGTCATTCAATAACTTCAGAAAACAAGCACTTATACCCCTGAGTCAATTCATACAATTTTCCAATAACTGATTCCAAAAGACATCCTTCCAAATCTTAAAACCTTCACTGGGTACCCTGGTTCTGAACAGAGAACACGTGGAGAAGGCTAGTAAGGCTAATGCTGCAACAACTGTAGCCCAATAACCAACTCCTTTGCCTCATAACCAACTGCATCTATGATTTTTTTGTGATGTGGATGTCCTGGCTGAGCACACTCATTTTGTGCAAATGGCCACAGGCAGAAGTTGAACTTGTAACTCTCAGAGGGAAAAGCTGCTCATCTTACTAGCAGAAGACATCATGGACCTTCAATCAGACCCTTGCAGGTCTGGATAAGAGACTCCTCAGGTCTCCATTTCTTCATGTCTAGAAGCCAAAAATAAATCACTGGCATTTCCAAGGTCACACTATCAAAGGAAAGCCTGCCTACCTGAGGGCAAAATACTTAAGTCTTTTGGGTACCAACTTAAATCCTGGCTGAGAGATTTTTCTCCCCACACAGCTGAGGGCAGCGTGCCTGCCCCCAGGATACAGTCTGTGCACACACCAGCTGCAAGTCCTACACTCTGGCTGCATGAACCAGCTTACTGCTGTCTTCCTGGTTTATATGATACAAAGAATGAGATATAAAATACTCTATATGTCTTCCCAAGACGGAAGGAAGATGGGAAACTAAAAGGAAATAGTCTTGCCAACATATTACTTTCAAAACTTGAATCGGTTTTAAATATTATGCAGGAAGGTACAACTGCCACCACTTTGGAATACAAAATGATACTTTTGGCTCAGAGGTTATTTCTGCAGTGAACAACTTCTTCCCCCCTCAAGAATAAATAAAAAACAGAGAATGATCTGTGCAATGCAAGGGGGGAAAAAACCCAAAACAAACAAATAAAACCCTGAGGAGATGAAGTGCCATCTCAGCAGAGGTAAAGCTGGCTTTCTTCTCAGCAGGAGGTGGGATTGACTCGATTTGGGAATAGGAAAGGACACTTCACATTTCCACCCCCCATCCTTACCACCCACCAGCCTGCACCCTGCTGGTGGGGCCAGGAGCCAGGTCCCCAGCACCCCCTTACGCTGCTCTCCCCCCCTGCACTGCAGTCGCTCATGGACCAATCCCAGCAGAGCTGCATCCTGGCAGCTCCCTCGGAGCCCTCTGGCTTCTCACTGCCTTGGCCTGGTTTCAGAACAGTCCCTCACTAATTTCTCCATTCTCCTAGAGATGGAGAATAGAAAAGAATGAAATCCTCCTCATTCCCCTTGTCATATAACAGCATGCCCTTCTCTGCCAATTCAATACATAAGGAGCTTTACAGTAATTAGGCCAAACAAAAGCTTTGCAGATGGCGGGCTCCTTCTGCCTAGAAACCCTCCCACCCCTCCTCCCTCCCTCTCCTGTCTCCTCAGTCACCATTCCTGCAAGCAGAAAACACCAAACAGTACCTGAAACGAGTTCTCCTATTTGGTGTACCACCAGCAGAGCCAGCTGGGCCTGGGCTCTCCAGTCGTGACTGCTGGTCCCCGGCACAGCTGCTGCTGCCGCCGTTCCCTGAACGCAGTCTCCGGACATGAATTTTAACTTTGTGGAGGTTGTAGCAAGAGGGTGGAGGGTTAGATAAAGCTTTATAGCATCTCACCATTTCCCTGTGTGCAGATCTGGTCCCTGCAGGGTGTTTGACTGACACATCGTCAGGGTGATGGCCGGTTGCAAAGCTCAGTCTTTTTTCCTCTACCTCTCTTTCCTTTGCTTGCTCCGGGCACAGGAGAGGACACGGCGTCACAGTTCCTAATTCCCCCGCTGGCTTGTCTCTGGATTTCCCCTCTGTTTCCCACTTGAATCTCTGCTACGAGGGTTGCAGCTATTGCAAACAAACAGGCATTGTGTCATATTTCAACATCCCACTACAAAGCCGACTCCGCACAAGATAAAAACGAACTGTCCATATAAGCAGTCCTTGCTTCTCGCTACTTGAGGTGGCCATTGAAACCCAACTCTCCAAAAAAACACCCTGCAGGCTCAGGCTCCTGGGCAGTGATGCACTCCAGTCAGATGAGCAGCCAGCTGGCCTTGCACAGCTAACCCGAGGCTGAATCCAAGGCTGGGAGGAGGAGTGGGGCGGAGAATAGGAGGAGATAATTCCCAGCTTCAGTTCTGCAGTGCAGCAGCTACCACTAGAAGTTTTGGACTGCTGGGCACAAAAAACCTTTCCTGCTCTCAATGTCCAGCTTGGATAGAAGAAACCAGAAAGGAATATTGTCCTTCTATATTACAATCCTTCTCCGACACCAACATCCCCCCCTTGAAGCCTCTTTCCATCTCAAAAGACTTGCGAAGGGGCATTATACAAATGCCCCAATATGTAACAAAATAAGCCAGTTTCAGGGCCTGCTTGAGAATGGGCTATAAAAGAAGTATTTAAGGTGTGTATTAGGTGGCTCTCAGTACTGTCAGTTTTTATGTCCAGGAGAACTAAAATCCAAAAATGAGTCAAGGAAGACATTTCAAGTTTGTTTTTTTAAAGACAAAAAGTGCAGCATTTCTATCTGAGCATTCTGAAAATAAAGGGAAATTTCCATCTTTGACCCTGAAGACCACATCACCCAACACAGATTTTTTCCACACCTCTACTGGATTTGGCTTGAACCTGGACCCCTGGCTGAGAAAGTAGAATTCACTTAGCTACATCTCACCTCAAGACTGAACCAGAACAGCTGAAGGGATAACTCTTTAGGGGCTCTCCATTTCACTTACATTTTCTGTTAAAGTCTGGGTTTGAAAAAAAAACACCCAAACAAACAAAAAACAAAACCTCCCTTGTTTCCAAAGCTCTCTAAACACCATGAAAGCTGTATGCCTAATAGAGTAGATCAAAATGAGCACTGGTGCTCTGATATATAGGAAAGAGTTGTATTGTATTAGGGATAAGGCAGAAGTGGGAGGGCCAGCAGGAAAAAGCTAGAATTAACCAGCTAATGGCATCCCACTCAAGCCTTGAAAGAAAAATATTCTAGCAAGAATCGTGTGTTTTGACTGGCCTTCAACTCCAAACATTACAGATATTCCCTAGAAACACCCTTGGAGTACCTGCATTAAAGGTTTTTTCTTGTTTTGTTTTTTTTTCCAGAAAGAAAACTTCTATATGGTATTCTGTATCTCAGGAAGTTCCAAGATCCGTGTGCATGTTGTTTAAGCTGAATTTTAACAACTGCATATTAAAAAAAAAAAAATCAAATAGTTAACTGACAGTAAATTTGAGATCAGCTGAAAGCACTCAAAATATACTCCTTCCTCCCTGAGCCAAATTTTTTTTTGTTTTCCTATTTAAAATATCATTGTCTCTCTCTGGCTGGCACACGAAACTCCTACACAACAAAAATGAAACCATCTGTATAGTACAACGATGAAAGCAGTTACCCACAAGCCCATCAAAATTCAAAGAAAAGCAAGGAAGAACACAGGGGAGCTCTTTCTCTTGATTTACCAGAACTGCTAGAAATTACCACCATTAAACACTAAATTTTAAACAGAAACAAGATAAGTTGACAACATCATTTCAAAAGGTACTTCATCAGACCAGGATGGAAATGAGTTTCACAAAACTGCAGTTTGTTTGTCACTGGTGAAGCCAGGCAGGAGCAGGCAGAGGACCCCAGCCCAGAGCCTGCCTTTTGCACGGGTGCCCAGTTCCCACAGGACATGGTTCACCCCGCTCCAGTCTCATCCTTGGAGGACCTTCAGACCTCTGCAGGAAGACGACTGAGCAAACAGATGTCTTATCTACATTTTCTTTGGTACTCTTCCCTTAAGGGTAAGGGAGGCAAAAAATCTACATGCTCTTTCAGTAGAAAGTCAATCTTATCCCCCAAAAACGTTTTCAAGAAATGATGATGTTCTAGATTGAAAAAGTCTGATTCTGTGAAAGCATGGAACAAGTGTTAAATACATTTTGTGGTCCCTAAAGACAAATGGGCATTGAAGCAGCCTGATGCAGTGCAAACTACTACCCTTCAGTTCAAAACAAAAAATGTGGCCAGATTCCTCTCCAGGAAGTGAGAAATATTTGTGTTAAAAGCTTCAATGCTAACATAAGTGGCAAGTTGCCATCCGTGTTGTGGCTGCCTCAGAAGCAATGTACAGTTCCTACAGGTTGAAATTAAAAACCCACCCTGAGTATACCTCCTGCCCGTGAGGAGAGAAACAAGAACTGGAGATCAACCAGCTCATGTCAACAGCTGGACTTCTCAGGATGCAGGCAGTGCCCCAAAGCCTGTACTAGCTTAGACAAGAATCTTATGACTGTTGGTTTGTAGAAGGCTGGACATCAGTACCAGACTCCCTCACCTGTCTGAATTCATCCAGAATCCATCTTTGGTAAATAAATGAAGCAGTCATCAACAGGTATAAATCCCTAGAGAATTATTATCGAATAGACAACTGCTAGTCTGCCAGCTATGCAACACCATTCTGCTCTGTCAGCTCAAATAAGCATCAAATCCAGTGACCCCATTTAATTACCTGTCATTACTACCTCAAGCCTTTCCCTCAAGTTTTAAAAAAACATACAGCAAACTGGCAAAAAAGACTAACATGCAACTGAACTTCAAACCTGCAGTCTCAGTATTAAATCATAAGCATGAATCATTAGGCTTGGCATGCTCCACTCGAGTGCTCAGAGCCCTTTGGTCACAGCCTCTACATTTGGTAACAGAATATTTTAAAAACGCACTGTACGCATGCAAATGCCCTATTCTAGTCATGTGCCAGCAAAAATAAGGTCTTGTAGTCAGGGGAGAGGTAGTCGGTGACCGTTTTATTCAAGTTCCTTTCCCAGCAGCATCTGTTTAATGTCAGATACGTAATCCCTGCTCCCACCCAACCTTCTCTGGCGCCAGCCCAGCAAGAGGAACACTGGATGCACACCCACTCCTGAACTCCGAGAGGAAACCCGAGGGTCTGCCAAGGCCACGCCATTCCCAGCAGCGTGTTCACCTCCCGGCCGGGAAGCGCCGGGGCTGCTCCCGCAGCTCTGCTGCTGGCTCTGCTTTACCCAGCCTTCATTTCTAAACCTCTTTTTAGACTTCATATATTTCTTCTTACTTGAGTAACATTCTTTAAAAATAATTTCCCGCTACTTCTACGTTGCTGTTTCAGTAACATATAAACAGAGGGAAAAAAAAGGGGACATTTTAAGGAAGCTATAAAAAGGTTGCACGTTTTTTTAAACTTCAGCCCGAATTCTGCACAAAAAGCCTGTTGTACAGTCTCAAAGATCTCTTCTGTGAAGCAAGGAAAAAAAGTTTTATTTACTTTTTCTAAGTGACATGAAAATTGATGACACCTAAAATACACCGTAGCCTTTTAATATTTTGTATGTTCCATTTCATGTCCAAAAATACGTACTTTAGCTTAAGCTGCCTGTAAAGCAAACTCAGTTCTGTAAGGGGTGTCTAATGGAAGCACAAACCGCGTTACATCCTCCCAGCCCCGCAGACCCCGCCGAAGCCCGCAGAGCTGCCTCCGGCCCCGGGGGAAGTTAACAGCGGGACTCTGACCTCTGATAACGCCGGCCCAAGGCACTGATTGTGTTTAAATCTCCTAGAGGATTACTCATGAGAGAGACGAGACTTTGGAACATCTCTCCTGAAACTTCCAACAGCCCAGAGACCAGCGATTACCGGTCCCCCCGCCCAGCCCGGAGCCCTTACCTGATGCCGGCCGGCAGAACCAGCCAAGGGCCGAGCTCGGCTCCTTCCTGCCTCCTCTTTGCTTCCACCCACAGAACCACGATGCTGACCCGACCTTTTGAAGCAGTTTGCAGACACGTGAACAAAGCAGCGAATTGCAAACCCCACCAACGCGCGCTCCCGCCCCCGGGCCAGCGGGAGCCTCCGGCCCGGATCGGCCAAGCCCCCGGGGCCCTCCTCGGCCAGAAC